TTAAGAGCTCTAAACTGAACTGACTGATAAGACGAGAGCTCTAAACTGACACTGAACTGACTGCCAAGCAATCAGTCAGTCAGTCAGTCTCATCAGTTTGGATTGATTGTTAGCAACTCTGCGTCTAATTGATTGATCCAGTAGTTCAGCTGCCGTTGATGCTCTTGAGCTTGCTCTGGTAGTCGCTGCCAGATAGAGAAGTCTCTGTATTGAATGGGTAAAGGCGGCAAGAAGAAGATGGGATCTTCGTTGCGGATGGCGGCAGCATACAGAGCACTCAATTCTTTCTTCAAAACATCGACTGACCAGCCATCTGAGACGATATGATGCATGACGATCGATAGAACATGAGATACTTCGTTGATACGATAGATCGATGTCCTCCAGCCAGGCTCGCATCGAAGATCGAATGGTGTCTTCTGATCCCACTCAAGTGATTCTAGCAGAATCTTGTCATCGTTTGAATCAACGTCGATGACATTTAGTTCTCTTCCTCCACAGAAAGGATGAACTTCCTGTACGCTCTCGCCATTGTTGGTGGAAAATGTTGTCCTTAGTGTTTCATGACGATGCTCCATTGCCTGTAATGCAGCCTGAAGTGCAGGGAGTTGGAGTGGACCTTTGATGCGTACTGGAAGGTGCATGAGATACCAATCTAGTCCTGGGTGCAGTTGTTCTAGGAACCAGAGTCGGCCTTGCGCAAACGATTGAGGGACGGGTCGTTGATGATCAATTTTGCTGATTGCACTGTGACTTGAAGTGGGAGGGTCGACCAATCGGTTGGCTAGCTGACCCAGTCGCTGCACCTGGAAAATATCCTGAACAGAAAACACTAGGTCGACATTACGCGCCTCACTCACAAGCTTCATAGCCGAGATTGAGTCGCCCCCTAGTTGGAAGAAGCTATCATTCAGTCCGATAGAGGTAGCATCAATGTTCAGCACTTGAGCCCATAGCTTCTGCAGCGCCATCTCATGCTTTGTTTCCGGTTTCCGATTGGAGCTCTCGTTTTCCTGTGTGCGTAAACGCGCCAGTTGATCGGTCGAAAAAGAGCCTCCGATCTCGCGTAGTCGCCTTCGATTTATTTTACCAGAGGTTGATATCGGGAACTCGGTGAGTCCAAAGTAAACCTCAGGCACCATGTTTCCGGGTAGTCGCTGAGATAGCTCGTTGTCTACTCGGACTGGATATACGACGTACACTCCAAATTCCCCATCGGACAGCTTGCCATTGAGCAGCTCGGGATTTGCCTTCAGGAATGCTGCAATCATCGACTTTCCTCCTTTCGGCGAGATGAGTTCAACTGCTATTTCCTTGATATCTGGGATGTGTTGATAGAGACAATGTTCAATCTCGGCAAGCTCAATGCGTTGGCCACGCACTTTGACCTGACCATCTTTGCGGCCTACATAGACCAGATCACCATCGGCAGTGTGGTAGACCAGATCGCCTGTCTTGTACAGTCTACCTCGCCGCCCATTGTAGCCTTCACAGCCTCGGAGCAGCCAGAGAGGATCATGAATAAAAGCTGTCTCTGTCTTCTTCGCATCTTCCAGGTAGCCGCGGGCTAGGTTTGGTCCCTCAACCAACAGCTCTCCAACTGCGCCTAGCGGTGCTAGTCTATTGTGATCATTAGGATTAGCCACCCAGCCAACTGACGCGATCGGCTTCCCAATGGGTTCCGGATCGAGTCCCTTCATATCGGGACTTGCGACACAGGAGACGCAACATTCAGTGGGCCCGTAGGCATTGATCAGTCGTACGCGGCCACTCCAAACATCGCAGTCTGAAGCGTTAACCTTCTCGCCGCCAAGAACCAATGTCTTCAACGATACTATCTTCTGTGGGTCTAAAATCCTCGCGACGGCTGGAGTCAACAGCGCCCAGGTTACCTTCATCGTATTGATTGTGTTGCCGAGATCGTCGCGGCGCTGCCTCTCAGAAGGGATGCATATACATGCGCCGTGTAGGAGTGTTGTGATGATCTCTAAGATGCATGCATCAAAGGTGTAGGCAGCGAATTGAAGAACCCGTGTATCCTCCGTGATACCCAACGCTGGTCCTTGACATGAGCAACTCGTGGAAACAGCCTTATGTTCCAGTTGAACACCCTTAGGTACTCCAGTGCTACCAGACGTAAAGATGACATACGCTGTATTGCCTGGCTGCACTGCTGTCTCAGTGCTGTAAGGCTTTGTCGTCAACTGGTCAATAAAGTGGCCGGTAATTTCCACGACAGTGGGGATGTATTCAGACCAGAGATTGGCGTACTGAGATGATGTGAGCATCAAGTTGGCCTTCGTTTGCTTGAAGATTTCTCGATGTCGAGATACCGGGTGGCTCGGATCTAACGGCGCAAAGGCACCCCCTGCTTTTAGCACAGCCAGCATGGCTACAACCATCCACATTGACTTTTCGAAACATAAGGGCACTATGGTTTCTGGTTTGACACCGACGTCGACCAAATAGGTCGCTAGCCGCGATGATCGCTCGTCAAGCTCTTTATAAGTCATTACACCATCCCAAGCACAGATTGCATCCGCTCCAGGCTGTGAATTCGCTTGGTCCGAGTAAAGATCGTGGACGCAGCGATCGATAGCTAGTGGTAGCCTCTGGTTCCACATCCAGAGCTGCTGTTCATCATCTTGCGTAAGCATTCCGATATCCATGACTCTTGTTCTTGAATCTCCTTGCGCTAGCTGCTGCATGACGAAGCTCAGCTGGCCTAGCATTCTCTCAACTTGCCACTGTTCGATCAAACGCGCATCAAAACTGGCCGTGATCTTGACACCCTCTTTAGCCAGCTTGCACTGTACCATCAACGCATAGGTCGTGAAGTCCTGCAGACCCGAGCCAAATTCCCACGTCCCAAACATATCGTCTGATTGGAAGGCGTCCTCTGCAGGCTGCACTATCAGCAGCGTCTGGAAATTGCACGCATGTTCGGTGTCTGGCCCAAGCTTGGCGATTCGTTGTAGGCCCGTTTGCTCGAACGGAATCATCTCAGTTGCCTGTTTCTGTACTGCTTCAAGAAATTCTAGTATAGTCGAGTCTCTCTGCAACCGTATCCGAACAGGCACTGTTGCAATAACAGGACCCACCAATGACTCGATGCCAGCCACTGGTGCGTTTCGACCAGTAACTGTCGCCCCAAACACAACGTCGTCTGAGCTGGTGTAGCCGCTAGCAACGATTGCCCATGCAGCACGGACAAGTGTCGAGATAGTAGTATTCGAGGTTCTCTTGGGAAGTGGTGGGCAACAATATTCCGCTGTTGCATCCGCAACTGGCTGTTGCACCCCAGATACTAGTGGCGGAAAGATATTCGCGTCGCAGTCGCTCAGTGTGGTTCGCCAGTATGCTGCGAGAGCGTCTTCGTCCATCTGACGGAGATACTTGATGAAGCTGTTGAAACCAAGCTGCTTTCCCGGTTCCGCGCCATTGTATGCTGTTTGCACAGCACTCAAGATATGATTGAGCGCCCAGCCATCGTATATCGCGTGGTGAATTGTCCATACGAACCACTTCTTTCCTCTACGAGTGTCCCGAACAAGACCGTAGCGTGCAAGCGGCTTGCCAAGCTGCATAGATGACAACTTGTCTTCAGCTAGATAAGTAGCGAGGTCGTCTGCATCTGCCCACTTTATCTTTTCCGCTATGACAGCCTGCAAAAGACCAAGGGTGTCATGTATGACAATTCTTGTTCGCAAGATTTGGAAAGACTGGACCGTCTTCTCCCATGCAATCCTAAAGGCTGTCTCATCTACTTCCTCCCGCAACTCTAGCACGGTCTGCATGATGTAATCCCCCGGCCGCTTCACAGTCAGCGACATCAAGCCTTCTTGAAGCGGCGAGCATGGGTAGATATCCTCGACAATACCCCTATCGATGTCACACTTGACTGCCACCTCGTGGTGTGTCTGCGTTGCATCAACCTCTTCATCCAGGAGAGAGAATGGGACGATGTTGTCATTGGGAACGTGAACATGCTCTTGCGCTACGGCAGCCAATTGGATGAGTTTGGGATATTGGAAGATCTTTGCCACGGTGAGTCGAACGTCTTCGTCTCGAGCTAAAGCAACCAGCTTCATGGCCGCGATTGAGTCTCCACCTAGCTGAAAGAAGCTATCATCTAGACCAATAAGGTCCGAATCGATGCGAAGTACGCACGCGATTAACTGCTGGATTCTTGATTCTGCCCTAGTGAGCTCTCTTTGAAACTCCTGGCCCTTTGCAACCTGGATCTCGGTTCGCTGTGTGAGGGCAGTCCGGTCTATCTTGCCGTTCTGGTTAGTTGGCATGGTTTCGAGGAACGTAACTGTCTGGGGGACCATATAGGCAGGCAGCTGAGCTTCAAGCATCTCCTGGAGTTGTCCTTGGATTCTTTGTAGGGTTTGTTGCCGTAGCGGCATGCTACTCAGACTGTGTAGGGGTCGCTCTGCGTGGTCGGTGGGAAATCGGAACATCACCCTGTTCTCTCCTTCACGCGGCGGGTATCGATGGAATATAGCGTCAATACCACCGCGTTGAGAGTGCTGCCTGCTCCAACTAACTTCAACGCGGCAGTTGGCTTCCTTTGCCAACTCATATAGGTCGGTAGCAGACATGGATGAACAGCACTGTGCCTGCTGACACACGGATGAGTACCAGTCTTGGGGGTCAGACAACTCTGCCACTGCGTTGTCTATCGATTCGATCAGACACCGACTCACGATCGTCTTACTATACGGAATGTTGCTCACAGCTATGGTGGATGAGCTGGAATTGCTTTGCAACTGTGCCAAGAGAGATTGGCGATCTAGCTTGTGCTCCCTGAAGTCGATCCATTCATCGTGCCCCACGTGTCGAATCTTCTGGTCTTGCTTTCGCCCATCTCGCGGCTTAACATGAATAACCGCGGCGTAACGATAGCAACTTAGCTCATTTGTTGCCTTCATCTTCTTTGGCAAAATCTCGACATGCTCCACTAAGTCTGGCAGGCGCTCAGGCAGAGCGGTGAAAAAGGCTGGATCCACCAGGAGCTCTCTTTCGACCAGCTCCATGTCAATTATCATGCGACTGACTTCAGCCTTGTCTACATTGTCGCCAGCCATGAACATTGCCCGAGTTGCAAGAAATTCTCGGTGTAGCGCATAAGACCGCACATCGCCAAAGAAGATGGTAGATACGCTCTCTAGTTCCAGCAGTTGCTGTGTGGTCTTGAAAAGGTATTCAAGGCTTGGGAAGTACTGAATGACTGAGTTGATGGCGACAAGGCTTGCATCGATAGGTTCTAGTCGATCGACCTCTGTCGCTGTGGCCTTGTAGACTCTGACCTTGTCTGCCAACGTGGGTACTGATCTGACTGTTTCTTTGACGAATTCAACAGCTCTTGAAGATGGATCCAGCCCGACATAGCTTTCTAAACCATCTCCCAGGTTGAAAAGAACCATACCGGTACCTGTGCCTACCTCGAGGACCTTGCCAGGTGGATGACCGTTGAGCATTGTGTCGATCGTGTCGTCTAGCCACTCGTTCATCTCCACTTTGTCAATCGCGCTGCCATCGTACATAGATGTCCATCCGATGAAGTCTCGCCCGATGGTCTCAGGAAGCACTTTAGAGATTGGCGTATAGACTTTGGAATCAAATTGGTCTTCCCATACGTCGACATGCTCGGATTCGTCGATGCTGGTTGGCTTTTCGTCAACCAATTCGTCACCCTCGTAGACTGTGACGAAAGCGGCTAGTCGAGCAGCCTCATCTGGATTTTGCTGCTGTAGTACCACAGCTACAGCCTCTCTTACAGACCCGTGGCTACGGAGAACATGCTCAATCTCACCCAACTCGATGCGATGTCCCCGAATTTTGACCTGTCCGTCCATCCGGCCGAGATACTCTAGCTGGCCGTCTGCAGGACGATATCGCACGTAGTCACCGGTACGGTAAGCCTTCACGACCTCGACCCCAATTTTTATCGTTATGAAGCGGTCTATGTTGCGCTCAAGGTCGGTGTATCCACGTGCCAGGCCGTCGCCCGTGACTACAAGCTCCCCAACGACCCCTAGCGGAACAAGCTGCTGCTTCAAATCCATGACATAGGCACCAGAATTGCTAATTGCACGGCCAATCGGCACGCCGTTCGGGTATTGCTCGTCTTTTGAAAGCACAAAAGTTGTGCTAAAAGTTGTGTTTTCGGTTGGCCCATAGCCGTTGATGATCTTGCCTGTGCGAAGTGTTTTCATAGAAAGGATGTCGTTTGATTGAAGTGCTTCACCCCCAACGCAAAGCATATCGAGACCAGCGAACAACGCAGGCGATTGCTGAACATAAGTCCTGAAGAGAGACGGTGTCATGAAGGCTGTTCTGACATGCTCTCTACGAAACGTTCGTAGCACAGCCTCTGGATCCAACACTGTCGTTCTGTCGATGCACACTAGCGTTCCGCCTTGCAGCAAAGAAGCATAGATCTCCCACGTAGAGACATCAAAGGCCAGATTCGTCATATGCGCCATGACTGGCGAAGCCGGCAAATGCTGCACAAAGTTATTGTCCCTCACTAGGCGCACGATACCACGGTGTTCAATCATGGCTCCCTTCGGTTGACCGGTTGACCCTGACGTAAACATAACATAGGCAAGGCTATTGGCTGTGGGCTTGACGATATCCGGAGAGGCGGACCCTTCGTGAGTTTGCTCGTCTAACGCTTCTGTGATGCGTACGAATCTAACGTCATTGATGTTCACACAAGGAGGCTGTACGTCTCCGCCTAAAAGGACAAATTTGGGGCCTGAGAGCGAGCCAAGAATTGTACTCATGCGTTTGGCCGGAACCTTGACATCGAACGGTAAATATGCTAGACCCGCCTTCAGAATAGCCAAAAATGCGACGATAGTCTGACAGCTGCGCCCTGCTAATACGCTGACCAGTGTCTCCGGAGCGAGCGATTGTTTGGCTAACCACTGAGCAAGAATGTCAGATACCTTGTCCAGCTGAGTATAAGTCATGGTTACTGATGCGTCCTTCACAGCAATCCTGGACGGACAGAGGGAAGTTTGCTGGCGAAACAGATCGATTACGCTCGACTCTCGTGGATAATCCGTCTTCTCGACCTGGATCAGACCCATGCTATTGAGCTTCGATGATTCGACGTCGCGTAACAATGACAAGGAGGCAATCGCAGCTTTCGGCTCTTGGAGGCACCCCTCGAGAACGATTTGGAAGGTCGACAGCATGTTGCCGATCGCCTCTGGAGAATAAATGTCGGTGGAATAGACAACTTCACCCTTCAGGCTGTCTTCTTGCTGGAAAAAGTGGAATTCAAGATCAAACCTTGACTTCGGTGCATTATCCAGGCTCTCTGTTTCCAGACCCTCCAGTGTCAGTTGCCCCAAGTTGCGCTGGGAATGCATAGCAAAAACAAGCTGTACAAGGGGATGACGAGACAAGTCTCTGGTGTTCTTGAGCCTGGATACAATATTCTCAAACGGAACGTCTGCGTTTGCAAGTGAAGCAATTGTTGCTTCATAGACTTGCTGAACCAGTTCTTCAAACGATTGGTTCTCGTCAATCGTAGTCCGAAGGCATTGCAGGTTGACAAAGAAACCGATCATATCTTTCAGCTCCCATCGATCCCGATTGGCGTTCACAGTGCCGATGGTTGCATCGTTTTGGCCAGTGAGGCGGAAGTGTGTAGCTCTAAAGGCCGCAAATAACACCATGAACTTTGTGACTCCTTTCGCTTTGCAGAACTGAAGTAGCTGAATGTATAGCGGGCCACCAATCTGGATCGTTTGCTTGGAAGCCTGTCCAGACAAAACAGCTGGCCGAGCTTTGTCGCAAAGCAGCTCAGCGGGTCTGCTGGTACTCAGCACATTGAACCAATAATTGAGCTGACTCTGGTGTTTGTCAACCTGAGCTTGTTGCCTCTGCCACACAGAGAAGTCTCGATACTGGATGGGTAGAGCTTGGACATGAAGAAAGGGGTCCTGGCCCCGTACCGAGGCTGAGTAGAATGCGCCCAACTCGCGCGTGAACACATCAGTCGACCAACCATCAGAGATAATGTGGTGCATGATGACAGATAGGACGTGGTCTTCGTTGCTGATGCGATAGATTGACACTCGAAAACCGGCCTCCTTGCGCAAGTCAAAAGGAGTTGTCTGGTCCCGATGAAGTACTTCTGCGAGGCTCTGGATGTCTATGTCGATGATAGTCAGCTCCTTGGCATGGTATGGGTGAACCAGCTGCATGCTTGTATCCCCAATGGTTTCAAACGTCGTCCGAAGGGTCTCATGGCGACTCTCGATTGCATTCAGAGCAGATTGGAGCGCTGCCAGCTCCAGCGGGCCCTTCATACGCACAACAACCGGCATGAGATACCAGGTAAGACCAGGGTGAAGTTCTTCCAAAAACCACATCCGACCTTGCGCGAATGATTGCGCAACAGGCCCGGCAGGGCTAACAGGCGGAATGATGGTATCAGAAACATCGAGGGAAGGGATCGCTGCAGAGGTCAACTTATCTAGCGTGGGATTCTGGAAGATGACTGCCACACTGATGTGTACTCCTGATCTGCGCGCTTCACCCACCAGCTTCATAGCTGCTATTGAATCGCCGCCTAGATCGAAGAAACTGTCGTCCATACCAATTGAACTGGCGTCAATGCTCAGGACCTGTGCCCAAAGATGATGCAAGATCTGCTCTTTCTCAGTCTCTGGTTGTCGCTTTGGGTCATCGCTATACGTTCGAAGCTGGGCCAATTGTTGTGCAGAAAAGGAGGCGCCAATCTTGCGCAGCTTCTGCCGGTCCACTTTAGCGGATACTGTCAATGGAAGTTCCGCTACGGCAAAGTACACCTCAGGCACCATGTCCTTTGGCAGACGCTGAACCAGCAACTCATCCAGGTAGGTTGGGAAGATGACTTGCACTTCCAAGTCACCGTTAGAAGTCTGGTGGACGAGTGCATGGCGTGGCTCTGAGCTGAGCTGCACAAATGCTGCCACCATTGCTTTTGCTTGGTCACCTGATGGTAGGACGACTTCAGCCGCAACTTGTTTGATGCCTGACATGCATTGATTGAGATGATGTTCAATCTCGCCCAACTCAATTCTTTGACCCCTCACCTTGGTCTGGCTGTCCTTACGGCCCGCGTAAACCAGATTACCGTCTGCATCATAGTAGACTAGATCACCAGTCTTGTATAGTCTTCCATGTCGTCGAGTGGATTCATCGTTACGGTTGCCTTGCCTCAGCCAGAGAGGGTCATCAACGAAAACAGCCTCGGTTTTCGAAATGTCGTTGAGGTACCCGCGTGCCAGGATCGGTCCCTCTATCAGAAGTTCGCCGATTGTGCCAAATGGCACTAGCTTGTTGTGGTCTTCCGGGTCGGTAACCCAACTAAAAGAAGCCATTGATGTGCCTATCGTTCCCGATCGGAAATTCCGGCCGGAATTGCGATACGAAGTGCACCAAATGCTACACTCCGTAGGGCCGTAAACGTTCACCTTCACGATATCGTCACCCCATCTCTTCCAATCGGCGTCATCCACCCGTTCTCCTCCAAGGATGAGGACTTTCAGAGAAGGAACCGTGCTGGGATCTAGTAGGCGAGCAACAGTCGGCGTGAGTTGAGCCCAGTTGATGTTGTTGTTGTTGATTACTTCGGATAAGGCGTTACGTCGATCGTCTTCTGAAGGGACACAAACACAGCCGCCGAATATCAAAGTCGTAAAAATCTCAGCGATACAAATATCGAACGTATAAGCCGCGAACTGGAGTGCTCGGCTGTCGGGTCCAAGTTTCATCTCCATTCCATGGGCAAGGCAGCTTGTTGCGATTGATCTATGCTCCAAGACAACGCCTTTCGGAACACCAGTACTACCAGATGTGAACATAACATAGACAGCATCTATTGGCTTGACTTTAGGCAGGATCTCGGTTTTCCATGGCAATTGATCAACAAAGGTTTTGTCGATTGCCAGAAACTGCAGATCCGAATTTGGCCAGAGAGCGGCGTGCTGTACGGAGGTAAGGACTATCTTGGCATTGGTCTGCTTGAATATCTCTTCGTGACGGGCTGTTGGATGCATTGGGTCTAGTGGCACGAACGCGGCACCAGCCTTGAGAACAGCTAACATAGCTACGATTGCCCATATCGATTTCTCAAAGCACAGTGGTACCATCACCTCGGTTCCAATGCCTTGAGTGACAAGATAGCTTGCCAATCGTGTTGAATGCTGATTCAATTGCTCGTAGGTCATCTTGCCGTCCCATGAGTATATGGCGCATGCGTTCGGTCGAGCTATAGCTTGCTCTTCGTATAGGCTGTGAACGCAGCGATTGACCGCTAGCAAAAGACCGCGGTTTCTCTCCCATATCTTCTCGACATCGAGTTTGTTCACGTCAAACAGTAGCGGTTCCGGCATGTCGGCTCTTGTTGAATGAAGTCTCCGTGTAACAGAATTCAGATAGGAAGATGAAGAGTCAATTGATTTCAGTGTATAAATAACTGTAATTTGAGATGCAGGATTATTGGTCAAGCATATTTATGTCAGTAGACAAGCTCACCGGCGTTGCTTCACAAATTAAGACTAGTAAATTCGTGCAATCCAGATACAACACCAAGGTATCTACATGACGAAACTCACCGCCTCCTCGGTCGTCCATTTGGCTACAATGACCGAAGTCTGCCGCTCAGATTTCTCGTCTTAATCTAAATGCTTAGGATACATGAACCATCCTTACTATTCGGACCATCTCGTGTCAGCGAGCGTTACGCGTTCCACCGAGAAAGTACCCCATGGCCCTATAGATTCAGTCGGACATCGCACGTACTTTTTCCTTACAACATGATACGCTTGCACTGTGGATACGCGGAGGTTTGAGTGATTAGGGAACGATATGTCGACATGCTTATAGTTCCCTTTCTAAGTTTGGCAAACCGTAGCGACTCCTCGGCATTCAAAGTTTCGACTTGTTCATCGATGTCCTCGCCATATGAACTTCATGATAGTTACCCGAAAGAAGCTCTTCTACAAGGGACGGCTTCCTTAGACCTCTGAAAGAGATCTCTTTGCGGGTCTATTCTATGCCCATCATCCGGCACTTGCGGCCTCGAAGGAGGGATTGAGAATATAGTCCAAGAGTATGTCGCGGATTCTCGAATGCATATTGTCCGAAAACCCACCGCTTGTAAGCAGGCTAAGGATGGGAAACCATTTTCCCCACCACTGACGCACGAATGGGGTCCTCCCGCACTAATTACCCCAGCGGCTCGACTCGTCCCTTTTCGGGCCGTGCGGGATGTCTTACCCCGTATTACCCGAAAGTAGTCGCGATGCAGACGAGAATTGGAAATCAGAGATGCCCATCATCGATCAGACTCGGTACCTCAGCCGGCGTAACTGCGGTCAACTCAACCACTTACAAACTCACACGCAACGGCTGCACCTTTCCGATGCAGGTTTCGGCACCAAATAAAGTTTCCGAGCACATCTACTGGATGTACCGTCTAGCGAAGTTACGCGTCATGTCATCAAGCATAGCCCAGCCAATGCGACACGTATGTGTTCTTCTTTTGACCGTAACTCCTCATTTCAGCCTAGTATATGTTGGAAGTTACGATGAACCTCAGATAAACGAATCCGAACCAATAGGCATCGGGGGCTTCTCCATTTCGATCTTTACGAGATTGGGTGTGCTAGTCTGCACTGCATGTAGACATATCAGCTCCGCATAATGCTGGAAGCATCTTTCAACTTAAATCAGTTTTGCCCCAAGAGACTCTGTGACTTCTGGTAGTTTCAATACAACACTTTTCCTCTTCTTTCTGGAGAAGACTGATACACTCCAAAGATGGAGCCTGAGCCTCTGGACCCAAGGGTAATCGGTTTCATGCGTCGAAACCTTGCGATGCTGCGACAAACCCCAATGTCAGTAGTGCTTGCTGGTCTCGTCCTGTTAGCATCTATATATATCCCACGCTTCATGTTCAAGTCGCAGATGGCGAGATTTCCACTCATCCTAGAGCATCTAAGCAGCGAGCAGCGGCGAGCAAGGTTTCTCGCAGGAGCAAAAGCACTCTACAAGGATGGCTCTCAGAAGGTAGTTCGACACAAGCAGATACATTTCATTCTATTAACTCGCTCCTAGTTTAGGGGAATGGCTTACAGAATGCAAACTTTAGATGGTAAGCGAGATCTAACAGTACTACAATCATTCTTACTAAATCCTTCTAGAGCAACAGATTGTCCTTCCTCTTTCCGCATTGACAGAACTTCGCAAAGCCCCCGAGGAGGTGCTATCCTTCTACGACATGTTTTCCAAAGTATGCAATCCATGCGACATGAGTGGCGTAGTTGCTCACGCGCACCCAGGGCCTGGAGGAAACCTACACTTATGTCGACATCAGATTTCTACCCGAGGTTGTCGATACAATTAAGAGGGATCTTACACCCAAGCTGAGTAAGCATGAACATGATGCTCCAGTATGCGTATCATGCTAATGAAAGCAGCGAAGATCACCTCAAAGATTTGTGATGAGGTAGATGCTGCGCTAGACACATACCTCCCCTCCCACGACAAGTGGACAGAGATCAATGTGTCAAAAACAGCTCTCGATATTATTGCAAAAGTCTCAGCCCACCTCTTCATCGGAGGCGATGTTGCCAACGACCAGGGTTATCTCGAATGTACAAAGAACTTTACCGTCCATCTGGGTGAGGCCACTAAAGCAATCAAAGTCACGCGGGTGTGGCTCAGACCCTTCCTAGCTCCCCGACTGACAGAGGTGAAGCGTCTTCTCGAGACGAGGAAAAAGCTAAGAGGTTATGTCAAGCGTGTGATGGAAGAGAGAGAGGCCAAGATCAAGGACCCGGACTGGGTACCACCGGACGACATGATGCAATGGCTCCTCGATCGAGCTGACCGGCAAAAGGACACGTTGGAAGACTGCACAGCTGCCCAAGTTCTTCTAATACTCGGAACTATCAATGCATCGATGCAGACATTGATTGCCATTTTGCATACGCTAGCAGTGACTCCCGAGTATGTCGAGCCGCTTCGAGAGGAGATTCGAAACACTTTGAATAGCGACGGATCGATTCCAGTCAGTGCGATGAAGGAGTTTGGAAAAATGGACAGTTACTTCAAGGAGGTGGGCATGCATTTTCCGGTCATTATCGGTATGTGATTTCCTCGTTCCTTTGCTTGCTCGATCTCGTTTCTTACACGGAGCTAAACAAAACTTGCAACAGAACCGTATTTCCGCCGGGTTCGCAAGGGCTTCACTCTGTCAAACGGGCAGTACCTGCCCCCCGGCGTAGCTATAGTCATAGCGAACCCGCTCGTCACAGACTCCAAGTACGATACGTTTGACGGCTTTCGACACTACAAATTACGCGAGGCCAGCGCGCAAAAGGATAAGCCTAACCATCGATGGCTTATTGCAAATGAAACTGAGTTCCGATGGGGCTATGATAACCATGTCTGTCCTGGCAGATTCTATGCGCATAATCTGCTCAAGATTATCTTTGCTAGAATAGTCGAAAATTACGATATCAAGATGCCAGGGAATGTTGAGGGAATAGAGGGTAGGTACCCAATGGTCGAACACGGGAATGTTGTCATGGAACCAAGAGACAAACCTCTTCTACTCAGGAGGGTTAAGAACCATCAGGGTCGCGTAGATTGACGGGCAAAGACAGATGCTTATGCATGTGAAGACTAGCTCGATATGTAGGAAATTTTGTTGAGAGAGCGCATGATGCTATGAGGAGGAGAATGGAGGTTGGAAGGTGTGCAGCTCTGCTTACTATACACATGTGCTTCGTCTACTTCGTCACAGTGCAGAACCGCCCATGCTGGTCGCCTCACATGATGTCCATTACCTCTCACGGAGCGGCAATCTTCCTAAAGGCACCAACAACTCTTTTTTCGAATCAGGAGATGGTGACGCAAGCAACTCCACCAAGACTTACCGGGACTTTCCATGCATCTGTATTGCGCAGGGTACGCTAGGAGCACGTGACCGGCCGAAGAAGCAACCTGCACCTAGTGTACACCTTCAAGGTCACCAATGTTTGACGGCGCCACACCTAAATTGGCTTAGAGGCTAGAGCGTAGAGAACTGAGTGCATGGAGGGCAGCACGCGGCTGAGCATGGGGTAGCCGTTGGCTGTTGAGCTAGGACCAGACCGATGCTACAAAAAGCATGATTGCGCACATGCCCGGGTTGGACCGCAGCAAACTGGTGGCATGTGCTGTATCTTGCGGATGAGATAGCAAAACACTCGCGTATCTGTGTAACATGGTTGGCAAGCGAGCGGCCCACGCAAGCGAGCGGCCCACCCCACCAACTTTCTGCGCCTTGTGAACTCCTCCCTATTATGGCTCCTCCAATTCAACCTCTACTGACCTCTTCTAAGGCTAGTATACACCTTGCAATCTTAGCTATTAATAGAAGCCAAATTTAGTCTGTAAGAGATGCTGCGCAGACATTTGAAGTCCCCCGAACAACGCTCCGACGCCGACGCGCTGGAAAGCCTGCCCGACGCGATTGCCTACCTAACTTAAGGAAGCTCACCCAGTTAGAAGAGGAGGTGATTATCAGCTATATAGTTGATCTAGATTAACGCGGATTTTCGCCTACGTACGCAGCCATACGTGATATAGCTGATAAGCTGCTAGCTGCGCGCGACGCAGGCCAGGTTGGCTAGAAGTGGCTAGCTAACTTTGTTAAACGTACAGACAGTCTTACGACGCGTTTTAATCGAGCGTACGATAGGCAGCGAGCTCTGTGTGAGAATTTAGTCCTAATTAGCTCCTAGTTTAAGCTTATAGAGGAGACAAAGGCCAAGTACGGCATCTGCGACGAGGACGTCTATAACTTTGACGAAGCTGGCTTTATGATGGGCAAGATCACGACTCAGCTTGTCGTAACAGGATTAGAGAGGAGAGGCAAGCTAAAGAGTATCCAGCCAGGCAACCGCGAGTGGGTGACAGCGATCGCTGCGATCAACGCTGCTGGCTGGTTAGTCCCGCCGTTCCTTATCTTTGCTGGCCAGTATCACCTATCTGCCTGGTACGAGGAGGCAGAGATCCCACGCGACTAGGCGATCGCAGTTAGCGACAACGGCTGGACGAACAACGAGCTAGGAGTTGAATGGCTAAAGCACTTTAACGCTTACACGAAGACTCGCGTTATTGGTGCGCGTCGCCTGCTCGTCCTTGACGGCCATGAGAGCCACTACTCTCTTGCGTTTCAAGAGCTCTGCAAGGAGAACAACATCTATACGCTCTGTATGCCACCTTACTTATCTCACCTGCTGCAACCTCTTGATGTTGGCTGCTTCTCGCCACTGAAGCGCGCGTACAGTCGTGAAGTAGAGAGCCTGATCCGCCACCACATCAACCACATCACTAAGCTCGAGTTTCTGCCAGCGTTTAAGGCAGCGTTTGATCGAGCTTTTACGCTATCTAATATCTGCTCAGCTTTTTGAGGCGCAGGCCTTGTTCCTCTCTAGCCAGACGCTGTCCTATCAAAGCTAGACGTGCAGCTGCGTACGCCTACTCCAGCTGCTCTCGCAGAGGCTCCCTGGGAGGCTCGTACGCCGAGTAACGTACGTGAGCTTAAGGCTTAATCAACTTTAATACGTAATCGCGTGCGACAGCATAAGAGCTTATTACTAGCTTTAATTATTAAGGCAATTAACTAGCTTAAGAAAGGGGCTAAGGTTATAATGCTCCCTGCTGAGCTGATGCGCGATCGGATTACTAGTCTTGAGCGAGCTAACGAGGCAGCGTCAGCGCGTAAACAACGCAAGAAAAAGCGTATACAAAAGCGAGGGACCTTAACAAAGGGAGAGGGAGAGGATATACTTGCTTAACGTAAGGTTGAGCAGCAGATTTCTCGTGAAGAGCGTTAAGGAGGTGCGCGATCAGGACTCAGCCGCTAGGCTCTGGCGCGCTGCACGAGGTGCAGGGAGACTGGCTACAACTTACGTACATGCAAGAAGGATATTTAAGATACTGCTTAATCTACTATACAAATTTGTATATATTATCTCTTAACGTGGCTGTAGTGTGCGCTTAAACAGGCGCAGAAAGTTAGTAGGGTGGGCCGCTCGCTTGCGTGGGCCGCTCGCTTGCCAACCATGTTAGTACGTTTGACTGGATCATCCTGGAGCTGTACTTGCCGTTGCAAGCGATTTACGAGGCTACCCCAACTGGACTGTACATCTTGAAAGGCCGGTGTTGCGAGGTTTGTCTGCTGCGAAAGTCAAGTGGTGCGCTGATTTCCCCACCTTTTCGCCTTGATTACTGCAGAGATGGTTTCTTTTTCCAGCCCATTTTCCCGATTCGGCAATACCAAGTAAGCCTCCAGCACACCCAAAGACAATTCTCAATACTCATGCATACCGCTGGCACAGCGTTTCAACGGACATCCTGATGCAAGAATCTCTTTGCAGCATCTGTAAGACACGTAATGCATGTTATTTTCGTAAGCCGCTAGATGAGAGAGCAAGAACACTCGCTGCGTTCTATTTTTCGCGCCTGATGTACTTCTACCGACTAGAGATGACAGGACTTATGTTTCGGTATACCAACATGAAACGAGAAGATACCTTTTGCTTTAACAAAAACAGGAGGCTAGGTTTGATCCACGATAACATAGGTCAGTCACATGAAGACCTGTTCGGTAAAGCGGTCAGAGATATGGATCACGGGTCGCGTTCTCCAAAAAGCATGCGATAGTACGCGGAGACCTTCACTCGCCGAAATAACAATTTGATACGACGATGCTTGTTGCTTTTGATGCACTCCAGTCTCACGCTGCCAATGAACGCCTTGCCCGCTGCGACGAGCAAGACGCAATGCGTTGGTTGTATCCAAGGTGATGGAGCTACCTGAGCTTGATGATCAAAGGAAAGTGTATAAAGAGAGAGAGACAAACTCGAAAAGCGAGCAACAACTCAAACATCTTCTCGCTGCTCCTTACCATCAATTCAATCAAAATTTCTACAAGACCACAATGGCCAACCTGCCCCGTCCCTTCCTCATCGAACTCGATGGCCAATTCGTAGCTAATCCCCGCATGAGTGGCGAAATGGATGAATACACAAAAATTCCGGCCAGCATCGGTGACCGTGCGAACGCCGCCATCTTCGAGCTCCGCGATGGCTACTTGCGTAGGCTTGGCGGACCTGAACCCCTGCACTTTGGTCGTTTCTTTGTCGAGCCGCCGCTCTATGGGCCGTTGCCTCTTTACTGGATCGCCAATCGAAACCAGGTGCGACCGAGCCAGTATATTGGGGATGAGGATTCCCCCCAGACTTTTGAAATGGCTGGTACGTCAAGCTCCTGCAATGGAGAATGACAAGAACATAAGTGACTGACTAGAACGAAGGGTTTCATATTGGTTTGGAACCCGGGCGGGACGATTCAGTTCATGCTAAACCACCTGGTATGCCCCCTGGTAAGTACTACGACGCCTGGTAGATGTCCCTAGAAAATCAACACTAAGAATCGTAGTGTCTCAGATGAAGTTGCATTGGCAGTGAATAGAGCTACCCTATCGGGAGGAGAATGCCTTGGTCGCGATCATCGTAATCAGGAACAAGTCTCACTCTGGACGACATGGCTATGAGAGGATGTATCTAGAGTATCGTAGTGTAGGACAATATATTCCGGGATACAAATCGATGCATGTTAAGAAGATCCCTTCAAGTTGTTGTGATGGACAATCTATGGAACGGATCCTAGTTCTGTCACAGACTTTTCGCTGTGATGCTACAACTTTGTCATGACGTTCGGCAGATGGACAGAGTTGCGGAAGTAGGATCAAGAGATAGGCGAACTGGACCGTTCAAAGCTAGTTCAATACCAGTTTGAACCTCGTCCTGCGTGTTGCTAAGTCGAAGTGGCCGGCTATACATGGACTGCGAAGACTAGCATCACTTGCGACAAAGCCCAGTCATGACCTTTTGACCGATGGATCTACCAATTGTCCCTTCGGATTTTGCTATCGTCGAAGTGTTGCACTGCGCAATGTTCTCGCGCACTGTCTTCGCATCGTGAAGACACAGTCTAACAGAGCACTACCTATACTTCCTTCACGCCATACTCATTACGTCACCAGACTAGATCGGGAAAGTGCCCAAGACATTCTTACCCGACGTATCCTTCCCACTTAAACGCAAATTCTAGTCACCGCTATCAATGCACTATCTTACGATCCAGATCTGCCAATACGCGCCTGAAAACTGTATCAATCCCGACAGATTTTACGTCCCCATTTTCTATACTAATCAACATCGACGCGATCGACTCGACACTCTCACCCAAGTGCATTGATCTCGGCATCACCGCCATATTTCTTCGACCGATATGCCTCTTCGCAAAATGCATCCTGTCACGGGTAAGCCCATACACGCCTGCTCCCACTCCAGTCTTCTATCTTACTAATCGTGCGCAGTATACGTCCTCAAGAAAGACCGCCTGGCACTCTTGGACGATATTACCAACATTCTCAAGAACGAACGCCTTATGCTATCTTCCCGATGCATCGACAGACTTGGAGACTGCTTGATGGCCAAGCTAGAGCCGACCCTAATACCACACGACCGCAATGACCCTGATCGCGCAATCAACATGGCGCAAAGCGCCCGCCTTCGAAATATCAAGGCACAAGGCCCATATCGGATAGTAAAACGGACCAAAACCTCAAAGCACACATCGGAGCTTCATCAGAACTCTAAAGTCGTTCGACATGTCCGCCTTGGACGATTCGCCGGTTCAAGTGACGTTCACGAGTCTCGTATGGACGGCGAGTTCATACCTTTAGATGGTGCAACTAACAACGAAGACGCAGACGAATACAAAGCTTTAGCAATCACGGAAGCGGGACAACATAACGTTGGGTCGCGCAACTTCAGCCGTTTTGCATAATCACCTAATTGGCCCGCGTGACACGCAAGAGTCGTTCATATCCGGTCTCGACATTGCATTAAAACACAAGCTTCTGGGGGCCGCAAGAGCGAGAGCGCCAAAGAAGATTAAGATCAGCGCCTGCCTCACTAATCGGCCGCCTTCCAAGAGACACACCTTTGAACACCCCCCGGAAGACACAAATTCGTCTTTCTATTTTCCGAATACCGCCCCGGCTTTCTCACAAATGCTTCCCAATGTGGATCAATCTGCATATAGCAAGCCAGTGGAGATGAAGGAGCGTGCGGATGCCCTTGTCAAGGACGAGCCCGTATTCAACACCAAGAATGATTTCCCCGCCTTCGATAGCAGGAACCTGGATCGGAATCGAGCTCATGATGTCGTTCCTGCCCTCAAGATCTCGAAGAAGAATCTTGAGTTGGCCGATGAAGCTGAGCATCAGCCTAAAGATGCATCAGTTTCGGTGGAGACAGTGGTGAAAAGTCCTGAGCTTATCTTCGCCGATACCAAGGACGAGACGACGTTCCAAACCCAGGCGGACAATACCATTGACGTCAGCGAAACCTACCCTGATTTCAAGCACGCCTCGACTCCTTCTCCGGTTGCTGCCATCACGATCACGAAGGACACCACTGCTACTGTTATTTCCAGCACCTTGAACTCAAGCCAGTCTTCAAGCGTCTCCATGTTTCCGTCTTCCGTAGCAGCCGAACAAGCGCTACAGGACACACCTGACTCTACCTTCTTTAGCCAATCTCAGGAAGTCTTGACCCAGTCCTGGGGCCACACCATCACTCGAACTATCGACCCAAAAGATCTCCAGCCGCCCACTTCATCGATGGTAAGACGCCAGAAGCGGGCGCTCAAGGCTCCAAAGAAGGACGCCGCTGTGGAAATCAACCCTCGCCGCTCTGCGAGATTGGCTGCCAAGCCTACACCCGCATCCGCAACTACTGCAACCAAAGAACGACAGGCGCCAAGACCAACTGCGAAAAACGTTCTTTTGCTATCTCCAGTACTTGACCCTGGATCAAAGCGCGGCCGCAAAGAAGATTCTGAGGAAGAGGAAGAGGATGATTATGAGAAGGAAGGATATGAAAGTGGCCGAAAGAAGAAGATTGTGTCTAAGGCAACGGTTGAAAGGCAGCGTGAGACGAGAGGTAACGTGACGAAGCGCGGTGGTAATGGGCCCGACCGGAGGACTGCGCTGGAACGTTATGGCCTCTAGACTATATGTCTATGTGGGTCGTATCGTGGTGCAGGTGTATGAATGTTGCTCGAAAACACTCTACAGCCGGCGGTTAAGATGGCTGGAAGCTCAAAGGGCTTTTGTCGTACACCAGCACCACAACAGCAACTAATTGCTACGATAGACGAGACGGTGGTTCAATGGCACGGCCATGGAGCATGTGAGACGCGTCGAGGTTGTTGTCCACCTAGACATTTAGTGGGATGCATGGTTAGTTGTTCATTTAGTTCTTTCTGTTTCTGCCAGCTTGCACTATAACCTTGCTTGGATCTGCATCCGTTGGATGCCCAGGCGCCAATTCATATCCAGTTGCGAATAGTATGTTCGAAGCAATGACTTCGTTGTTAAAGTCGCGCATCATGTCCATTGCGTGATGTGGCTCGGGTTGATCTCGGCTCTCCGCCCGTGTTCTTCGAATTCCGCATGCGCGTCACGTTGGCGCACGAATACGCGGTCAGCATCACCACTACATGCATACTTCAACCCTCTCCTACAGTACCTTGCAGCGAAGTAAGCCGGATAGATCTTGCTGCCTGACTTGGCCATGCGTCTTTCTTTCTCTCTCCTCACGGTCCTCCTAAACCTTCACCCAACCATTTGCACTAACATGGCCACCTCAAATCAACCCCCGGCAGCATCATCCACACCAGGCTCCACAGCCTACGCCCCAGTAACGCGCATAGCGACTTTCCGCTTCCACCCGAACGTCACCGCAGAGCAAAAAGGTGACCGCGCATCCGCCTTTCTCGCACTTTACGCCGAGCATCCTGAACTGCTGGTCGAAGCACCTGTAGGAGGGAGACCGTTGAATACGCCGTTGAATTTGACGAATGTGAAGCGGGAGAGCATCTGGGACTTGGGTTTCGTTGTTAAGTTTAAGGTATGTAGAAATCGGGGTGTGCAGTGTGGAACGTAGGGTGGAGTGGCCATGCGATTGGATGGCATAGTGGGGGATGTGAGGGTGACGGAACGGTGGAGATGGAGTACGAATCCTGACGGTGACTAGGACGAAGCATCGAGACAGAAATTTGACCTTGATCCTGGACATGATACACTGAAGGTGGGTATTCTATTCCTTATCTCACATGGGTGGAGCTGATGCCAGAGAAGAATGAAACAGATCCGTTGCTCGAGCAGGTTTTTGTGTATGACTTTGTCGCGCAGCCAAACCTCGGGTGGTAGTAGGCATTTATGAGGAGGTATCCGTGACTGTACCTTACCGGCTCAAAGGATAGGTAGCTAGGAAGCAGATGTATCGAAGAGCAAAATTGTAACGATGGTCCTTGCGGATTCGGTGTTTAGGAGAGTTTGGGTGTCCTTTACTTCCGAGGTCCAGACTGGACTGCGCTAATTAAGGCGGGGTGCGCGACGGGCCTCAGCCCACTTTATCTAAGCGAACAAAGCAATGGTTCATTCATCGTCCTGTCCGACGGACCAACGCACAGCTGAGCTGAATCACTCCTTGCAACAATGTGCTCCTGCAAATGGCGTCCCAATCTCGCTGTGTCTGCACCAAAATGCGCCAACCACGGCAGGCCCGCCGAATAAGGTACGGCCAAGGCGGTACTTACGATCTCAGCCAGCCACAAGCGCGGCATTTCCGCCAGCCACAGTCTGGTGCTCAGCTCTGGGGCTGAACTGCATTTGCTACCAAGACCCTTTACAGTTATCGCATCAATAGTGTCCGCTGTCCTAGCACTGGATTGGGACAATTAGCCTTTCTATGCCGCCTGATGGGGTAACACACCAAGTCAGCTGTGGGTTCGTGAACCCTCAGCTATCCCAAGAACGCAGTCCAGAACGTGGAGGCGCAATCGTAGCGGCCGTTGTCCGAAGCCCTTCTGGTTCTTCGTTCTCCCAGCAGTGCTACCAAATGTGGGTGTGCAGATAGCCCCTACATTCCATGCTGGCACACCGCTCTGCAATATATCTATCCCTACCTCTCCGCATTTCTTTTTCTTATTGCACCCAATAGATGATCGAACGCCTCTCGTCTTAAGTCCCAATTCTCTAATAATTCTGGTACCGTTCCTGGTAATCGTGTGCTTCGGGACTTCAGCGTTTCGTTCTTTCAATCCCACCCTGCTACTTTTCCGCTACTGCGTCACCAACCACCATGTCTCACTCTGTTGACGAGGCAGATAAAGATTGCACGCATACTCCCAGGAAGCTTATTCTCTGTTTCGATGGCACTGGAAATGTGTTCAACGGGAACACTTCGGATACCAACATAGTTAAACTGTACGACAAGTTCGACAGAAAAGACCCTATGCAGTACCACTACTATCAACGTAAGTAACTGGCAAACCCTCGGTAGTAAGAATCTAACCGAGTGTTCAACTTCGAAGCCGGCATTGGAACATACAGTGCTGATGGAGGACCAATCAACAAAAGTTTCATTGGCAACATCAAATCAAAGATCTCGAAAACCATTGACAGTGGTTATGCCACCACCTTTGATGCCCATGTCATCGCGGGCTATCGCTTTATCATGCGATATTACAAAGAAGGCGACAAGATCTACATGTTCGGCTTCTCGAGAGGTGCTTTTACTGCTCGCTTTCTTGCACGCATGATTCATGGACTCGGCCTGCTCTCTGAAGGCAATGAGGAGATGGTTCCATTCGCATATGATCTGTACCAGCAGTACGAGAAAGGACTGCTACCCGATGCTCAGCAGAAGCAAGAGGATCCTCCAAAGGATACGGGGTCGAAGAAAGCAGCACCCACCAGCGAGGAACGTCAGCCTCTTCTTCACCAGGATGACGAACCCGATGAGCAACAGCTCAAGAGACATAAGCTTGAAGCTTTCACATCGACGTTCTGCCGTTTAGAAGGCATTAAGAATCAGCGTATCAAAGTACACTTCTTGGGACTCTTTGACTGCGTTAGTAGTGTCGCAGTTCTAGACAGCCCCTTTGGCAAGGTCCCCAAAGCTGTCTCCGTCCTCGGAACCGCCCATCACGTTCGCCATGCAGTCGCTGTTGACGAGCATCGCGTCAAATTCAAAGCAGCTTTGATGCATCAAGACGTTAAGGATGCTAAAGCGTTAAACGAAGTCATCAAGGAAGTTTGGTTCCCCGGAAACCACGGTGACGTTGGTGGGGGTTGGCCTGCTCCACAACCCAAAGAACCTAGCTGGTGGCAAAGATACTTCACATCCGACAAGAACGGTAAGCCCTCTGATCGGAGCCAAGATCCCTATCAGATGAGCGATGTGCCTTTGGCTTGGATGATCCGCGAATTGGAGCAGCTAGGAGCAGTTGACGATAAGTCGGCCATCAAATGGAACCCCAAGAAAGATGGATTTAAGAAGAGCTTCTTCAAGAAGATCAATCAAGCGTACGAAAGCCCCATGCATGATACACTTACGGTAGGAGGCGGTTCCTCTTTCTTCAAGGTCATGCTTTGGAAATTCATGGGTAAGTACACGCGCACACTCCAAGATGACCTGTGACTAACAATATCGAAATAGAAATCCTGCCCTTTCATCGTTGGGAACTGCAATGGAACGCAGCGAAGAATGCGTTTGGGTGGGTCTATACCGCATGGCCGTTGAATTTGGCATCGGGACGAGACATTCCCGAGGGGGCGCTTTTGCACGACTCTCTCCTAAAGAGATTAGCACGTGAGAAGCATTGGAAAGCTGGAAGGGAGTCGAAATACCTTCCATGCAACAACCAAGGCGATAAAGGGAAAAACAAATCGCCAGAGTGTTTGCTGAACACCAAGTTCGACCCCGTGAAGAAACTCGAGGACAGAGGTGTACCGAAAACAAAAGACATCGACTTCGATGAGCCTGCTGGCATCCACGACATCTACACTATCGAAGGTCAGATCAAGTTTAGTGGCTGGGATACTAAGCTGGTCGAACCATAGAATGTGAATCCGCGCATGTATCATAAGTTTCTTTTGTGTCAACATGTTCTACTATCGAACTCTGTATACAAATCGTCGCCACAAGAAGGAGGAAGTCTTGCTTCCGAAGCCTCGTTCGCGCGCTAGAAAGCATTGGATTAGAATGCTATCCTCGGCTTAGGAAGAGATGGGAGATGGAAAGTAGGTTATCTGATAATGGTACTCTGCGCGAGACGGCGTATCAATATTTACCTGACGATGAATGTTGTGATTATATGTGCGGCTGTGAAAGGTGCTCAAGATGATAAGGCGAATGCAAAGGCTTTTGTTGTTCGTTGAAGCTACCCTGCCGTGGCTGCTTCGTTCATCACGCGGTTCGTCAGCGTTTGTTGACATCCATACAATGACAGGCTCTTATTTAGAAGCATTGCTCGTTATCTCGGGTCAGGGATCGCTCGCTTATGTGCTCATGAGGCTCATCGATGGCCTCGACTGGGAAGAGCTGGAGAAAGTGGTCGTAAAAGGGATAACCACTATGGATCTGCTCAACGATGTCAAGGTGTCGAAGTATACAGAGAAGAGAGTAAAGAGATGTTGAGGAAGAGGAAGACGAATGCCGCGCGATAAGCTTTGGAGGAGCTTTGTAAAGAGCATGATTTGGACATACCGACCACACACTGTGAGCTTGAAAGAGACGACTTCGAGACTGTGATAGGACTTGGTTTTCTGTAGGAGAAGATTTCGACAAGGTAATGAGAACGATATTGATTCGATTGACGTGCTGGTGATAAGACGCAGGCACAACGCTGGTGAGTTACACTGTATTGTATCGCAGTAGAAGCGTGTTCCCAAACACTTGGCTTCACTATATGCAGCTGCATATGTGAGAACGATATCATGCTGAGTGGAGTATTTGCGGATGTTCTCAAACTGCCTTCCGAGTTTTACGCATAGCCTAACCATTGTGAGGAGCTTCCACAGCGCCATTCCATACACGTCCAACACTAAACCTTGCGCCTGACCAACCCCCTGAAGAAGTCAAAACTATTCCCATCACTCTGAATCTGAATAATCTTGCCCGTTCCTCGCCCATCAATCTCTCGCACCTCTTCGGCAAGGAGTAAACCCCAATCCCTCGTAATACCCTTTATCCTCGCTTTACACCCACTCTGCACCCCCTGTTGATCCTCAAGCGTCACAAGCTGATCAGTATGCAGCCAGTTCTCATAGTAGTACGACTCCATGTCGCGGTTGAATCCTTCCTGGCAGAACGTCGAGTACAGTGTCTCAAAGTGCGCCAAGATACTCGCCAGCAGCTTCTCTGGCGTAAAGTCCTTGAGCGGCGGATTCATGCCCTTGGCAAGCTGATTCAAAGTCGTCGTCGGCAGCGCATTACTCAAATTCAATCCGATACCTGGTACGACATCGTACGTGGAACCGGAATAACTGCTATTCACCAGAATGCCTCCTATCTTGACGATGGGATTTGCACTCGAGCCGGGGAGTTGCGCGTAGATGTCGTTTGGCCACTTGAGCTTTATAGGGATTTTCTCGTACCCGGGCGCATAGTTCTTGATGCCTTGCACAATGGCCAGAGCAGCGAGATACTGGATAAACACTACCGGTGCACTTTGACTTAGTGCGAAAGAATGATGCAACACAGTGCTAAACATTAATGCGCCAGGCGGTGCGATCCAGACATTGTTTCCGCGACCACGACCTGCAATTTGTGTCGTTGCTGTTATTGTGAAGCCATTGGGCAGATTTCGCAGCAAAGACGGGTTCTTTTCGAGAAGAGTGTTGGTCGATGTTACGACTTCACCATACATGAGGTGTTTTCCAAAAGAAGCGTCCGGGTTGCGGAGCTTGGTGTGATAGTGATGGAGGTTTGCGTAAAAGGCATCATGGTGGAATGGTGTCTCTTGAGCCGATGGAAGGGCTTTCTCGTGGGGTATGATGACCTTGACGATTTTGGCGTAGTCGACGATCTCGTCTGGCGAGGTGTTGGCTGTGTACTCGATGCAGTCGTAAATCTCCTCTTCTGGTGTCTTGGCCCTCTTTTTCTTGCTGTCATCTTCCTTCTCTTGGCCTTGCTCTCCAACACTCTTCTCGCTACTGTTCGTCACTGACGCTAGTGTAGGCAATTTCTCCGACATGGCACTGACAGCCCTCTTCAGCTCCTTTACGCTCCACGCCGTTCCCTCTTTCTCAATCCGAAACACGTCGTTCTCGCCCTTGATATACTCATCGCCGTCCATCACAGTAATGATTTCGCTCCATGTAGCAACGAGGTCAGAGACGTCTGCCAAGCTATGAGCGGTGAGATGCAGGCGGGATAGGGACGGTACCGCTTGTTCCTGTTCGTTGACCTGCAAACCAAGTTTTCCGAGGATCAAGCGCATAAAGGCAAGTCGTGTTGCGTCCGTGGCAGCGATATCATTGATAATGGTCGCGTAAGATGGCAGACTGGGGATCTTGCTGAGGTTTTGCGGTGCGAATCTATACAGTCTTAGCGAGCGAAGGTGTTCTGAATGTCGAATCTGAGCTTACTCTGGATGTGGCCCAGTAACCACAGCATGACCCTCACCCACCTTACGATAGACAACAGCCGCTTGACCTTCTCCAGATTCGACGTGCAGATCCTCGGTATAGCTCGCTAGGATCTGCACACCCCTACTCTCGAGCTTCTTCGCATCAACAAACACACCCCCACCATTATAATAGCTCTTGAACGTCTCCGCCACACCCTCATCAACATTCTCAAACGCCTCCTTCTCAATCTTTATCTCAGCAGCCCTCGCCCCAGCCTCACTCGCATACCTGAACCCCTCAAAAGCCAGTCCCCTACACACACCGGGGAAGAAGGCCAACTCCCTCTCCCCCTCAACAGCCATCTTGGGATCATCAAGCTCAAACTCACATCTCGCACTTCCGTAGTACCCGCCTGCACAGAAACCTAGATACGAACCCCCGGCATTTACATACCGGCTGATCCTTCGATTCCCCTCACCATTGAGTGTACGGCAATAACCCAGGTCAGCGCCGCCAGGAAAGACGAGAAGAGCGCAGGTGCTGAACCAGGGTTCTTTGATCAGAGTATCGCCAGTCACAGGTATGACAGCGTAAGAAGGTGAGAGCAGACGGCGCAGGGTGTACAGGCAGTGGCGGACAGATTCGGTGGTACTTCCGTTGCCTAAAGGGGAGGGGTGCGGATTAGTGGGGGTGGACTGTGGGATTTGCGACTACGCTATAAATGGCCGCATACCAGAGTACACCAAGATGTTCATCCGCTTGGTTGCCATGATGATGTCGTGATTAATAACGATATTCGCGATTTTGAATGGTGACGCTGAAGAACCGATGAGCGAGGCGCGCGGACCGAGATTGTGCCGATCGTGCTCAAAGTAACTCTCTCTCGCTCTGTTCAAAAGACCCTGCGCAAGTTTCCGACTCTTTTGCGCTTTTGCACACACACACACACACTTACACAATACTCGTCAATTCTCCCAACCCCTCTTGAGATATGTCCAACGAAGACAAGGCGCGCGCGGCAGCAGCGCAGTTGGTAATTGACGATGAACCCGATGACTGGTGCGTTACTTTGAACCTTTAGTCTTGCACAATGCGGAGATCCGGGTCGGAGGAGCGAAGAACTGCAACTTTGTTGCTGCTGTAAACCAATTGAGCTAACCCAAGACCAACAAACACAGGGACAAGCGTATCTTCAGCACCGGCTGCGCAGACGAGAATGCAAAACTGACAGACTGCTACTACGACAAGAAAGACTGGCGAGCGTGCAAGCAGGAGGTGAGTTTTATTTCGTCTTTGTTGTTTATTGTTCCCAGTGGTTAAAAACCACACATTGCTTCTGCGCTGCTTCTAGGCTCTCGGTTCGTTCAAAAGCCCGAGAAGAAGCCGAATCTTTTTGCGAGTGTAAAGAAGAAGAGAAATCATCAACTGACAAAACACGATTATCACGCCTTTTAGATGGAGGTCTTCCGACAATGCTGGCAGCGTCATGGCAACGATAAGAGGACTGATTCCAAAGATGCTTCATAAGTAGAGGGAGAGAGAGAAAAAGCAATCTCGGTTTTGCGCACAAGCCGATTGTAAGATCAAGTTGTATGTTATTAGCAAAAATGGAAAAGGAGTGTATGACTATTGTAGAACCAGAAGACGAGCGTAGGGATAGTTAGACTCCAAATGGAAAACACCCTAATGCCGACAGTCCATACATTTGGCATAAGCAGCCCCCGCTTTCCATGCCATTCCACGTTTTCAGTCGTCAAGCCAACATAACTTCGTTTCTTGTAAGTCGCCATTTTCCTCCATCAGTACCATTACACTAGAGCTTTCATTTCCCAGTCTCATCACAGCCCCGTTCACACTCCCACTACTCATTTGCGGCCAAGTAAAACGACTTTCCACGGCCAGCTTATACTCTTTACTTTCTCTCATAAATCGGGGGCACAACATCCGGGTGGAATGGCGACTTGGCGGCATCCGCCTTCTGCTTATCAAAACTCCAAACACCATTAGTCTGGCCATCATTGATGCCCTCGCCAATCTTCTTGGCCAGTTGTTCAAACAAGGGGTACTGCGGCGCGCGCGAGAAGAACTTGCGCTCCCACTCCTTGCCTGCATCCTTTTCTTGCTGACGCATCTCGCGCTGGCGCGTCTCAATGATAGTTTTTTCCGACGACGTCAAGTCCATATTACCCTTGTTAATCGCGTCGCTGACTTTTTTCCATGCGCGCCGGGTTTCAAAGTCGTCTTGCTGCTCAATGTCTGCGACGGTCAGGGGCGTCGTTTTCACAGCCTTGTGGTCAAAAGTGTCGACGACGGCTTTGGTCTTGGCATCCTTGATTTGGAAAGAGTCGGTCCACTGGCCATCGGCTTTGTAGATGGCCTCCTTCTCTTTGCCCTCTGGGTATAGGACGGCGGTGAAGCTGTTCTTCTTTCCAGAGACCCAGCCCTTGCCGCTGTAATCGATGCGCGCGGTGTATCCGGTAGACGACTGAATGTAAGTGCTGCTGTTGAGCTCGACGTAGGGTGAGCCTGTGATGAGGCCTTCGATGTGGAGCGCAGGGAGGGTAATGAGGTAGCTTTCATTGTAGGCGTCTAGGTGCAGCATTGCGTGGCCGATTTGCTGTGGAGGTAACGTGTTAGTATTATACTGCCAATACTGTCAGGGTGTGTTTACCTTGACATTGATGGTCGTCTTAAACGACGCCTTTTGCGCGTTGTAACCCTCTAGGCGGACGCCGTGTTGGTCGTTCCAGATAGAGTAAGCCGTGACGGGTGGGTGATGACTGCGCGCATTGCATTAGCATTCCCGTAGTTTACGCCTTGTCTTGGATGCGCGTACCTGACTTGCTCACTGACAAGCTGGGTTGTGCCTGCCTGGTCCTCCCACTTGCCCAAGAAAAGCTCTCCCAGGAAAGGGTTGAGCGGCTTCTTCTCGCTGCCCAGCTTCTCTGACCGACTCGCATACTGCTGCTTCAATGTGCTCAGGAACCACTTCAGCACTAGCATGGCCCGTTTGGCAGGGTCCTTCTCGGCTGCAGGTGCGACGAAGACGGAGGGGTGTTCGGTCCAGTATGACGAGAACTCGGTAAGAGATTTTGTCGAGAGGATAAAGGCAGGCGCCGTCATGGTGGAGAGGTCGCCATTGAAGGATGCGATGGACTATGTGCATGTTAGTCGACCGCCATTCTGTACAGCGCATAGCTACATACCTTGAGGAAGCTCGACCAAGAGCCCTTTGCCTGGGGTGGCACAGCGGAGCCTTCTTTCTCAGCCATGATGGCGATGTAAAATTAGAGGTGGTGAGTTTGAAAAGCCAAGGAAACCTCTCACGGGAGTCTATGCGCGTGTGTAGGGATGTGTGAAAGGCGGGGGGTTGTCGAGATCTAGGTAACTTGGGTGGGGAACGGTATTGTTATGGGGTGGAGACGGAGGCATGTTTAGATTGGGAAATGACGTCGCCGAGCTAGTGCTGCTAAGCCACACGCGCAAACACATTAGGGGATCATGACATATTGCCACGCGACTTATCATCATTACTACCGTTTTGTCGACCAAAACAAATCTGTTTTTACTGGTATTCTCGTGTACAAGTCGTCTAATCATGCTAATTACATCTCCACTCTAACAAACGCGCTTACGTCTTGACATCGGGCTCGGTGCGGCCAACGTACTCTTGGAGCTTCAGGAGGTCAGTCGCAAGCTTGACGTTGTCCTTGAGGTAATCCTGAGCGTCCATGTCGTATGTAGACTCGTCGCTAGTGTGCTTCTCAATATAGAGACGAATGGTGGCGCCGCTGCTACCTGTGCCAGACAGACGAACAACGATACGGCTTCCATCGTCAAACTTGACAAAGATACCCTGGTTCTTGCTGACGCTACCGTCCAGGTCGGTGTAGGAAAAGTCGTCTGCCTCGACAACCTTGCGGCCAGCGACGGTGGAGCCGATGAACTCGTCCTTCTTGGTGGTGATGAGCTCCTTCATGTGGCTGGTGACCTTGTTTGCGCCCTCAGTCTCGCAGCCCTCATAGTCGTAACGAGTGAAGAATGTGCGGCCATATGTCTTCCAAAAGTCCTTTTGGATCGAGGCAATGCTGGGTGTGGTACCCGTCTGCTGTCCAACACCGGCCAGGATGTTCAACCAGGCAACGACAGCCCACAGACCGTCCTTCTCACGGATGTGGTTGCTGCCTGTGCCGAAACTCTCCTCACCGCAGATGTTCATCTTGTCAGAGTCGAAGAGACCGCAGAAGAATTTCCAGCCCGTAGGCACCTCGTAGCACTCGACGCCCTTCTTCTTTGCAACCAGGTCAATCGCGCCAGAGGTCGGCATGCTGCGGGCGAGACCATAGATGCCCTGCTTCTTGAAGTACGGGATAAGCTCGGCGTGGTGTGCGATGATGGCCAAGCTGTCACCAGGCGAGACGAACGAGTTTGCGCCGTAGATCATGTTTCGGTCACCATCACCGTCGCTGGCAGCACCAAAGTGGATCCCGTTCTTGTCAACAGCGTCGACCAGCGACTTGGCGTAGACAAGGTTGGGGTCTGGGTGGTGGCCGCCAAAGTCTGGCTTGGGGACGCAGTTTTGTGTGCTGTTGGGGATGCCGAGCTCCTTCTCGAAGATGTCCACACCGTATGAGCCGGTGACACCGCTCAGGCCGTCGAAGAGGACCTTGAAGTCCGAGTGCTGCTTGAGGAACGACTTGATGAGGTCAAAGTCGAAGATGTCCTTGAGCATCTTCAGGTAATCCTCTGTTGAGTGGACGATCTCAACCTCGAGGCTTCCATACTTTTGTGTGCCAATTGTGCTCAAGTCGATGTCGGGGATGTCGGCGATCTTGTACGACGAGAGGGTTTTGGAGGTTTCGTAGATCTTGTTGGTGACGCTCTCGGGAGCTGGGGCACCGTTGGCAAGGTTGTACTTCATGCCAAAGTCCTCATCGGGGCCTAGATGCGTCAGGTGAGGGGAACGAGTCGATGCGTCTGGGAGAACTTACCACCAGGGTTGTGGCTGGCAGTGAGGAGGATGCCACCGGTCGCCTTTCGTATCCGGATGATGTGACTGGCGGCAGGTGTGCTCATGATTCCATTCTGGCCGATCAAGAGCTTCTTGACGCCGTAGGCAGCGCTCATCTTGGCGATGGTCTGGGTGACCTCGGGGTTCCAGTAACGGCCATCACCACCGACGACGAGGAAGGCGCCGTCGGCGCCCTCAGGGATGGACTGGAGGATGCTGGCAACAAACGACTCTGAGTAGTGCTCCTGCTGGAAGACCTTGACCTTCTTGCGGAGACCAGAACTGCAGCAATCCAAGTCAGCTATCATGCCTCGACGCCATAGCTCCATGCGCCCTCCCAAGCTCGTCCGGGGACATTGCACTTACGTTCCGGGCTTCTGGTCCTGGAATGGCTTCAATTCGACGGTTCGGACGCTCATGTTGACTGTGTATGTGCTGGAAGCTGATTTGGAGGGAGATTGAAGCAATTGCAGAGTTTAGAAAGGTGGCAGCAGGGCAACTTTTGAGCTGCTGAGGGGCCCAGCTTCCCCCACCACGCGGGATGACGCCGGCGCTAGCTCATCAACGGGAAAGAACAACGCCACGCTGGCTATCATCTCAAGTTTTTCCCTCGTCAATGTCCCAACAGTCGCTGCGCCCATGCGCTAATCCTGCAATTGAGGGCGAGACGCTGCACAACACCTCTTGCTGACCAGTCCCCGCCTCGCTTCGCCCCAGACGCTTTGCTGGGGTATCCTGGCTGTGTGCATACTACATTTCCTTCCCGTTGCGACGAGAACATTGTCCATCTTCTCAACATTTGTCCCAGTCTCCTTCTTTGGATCCGCCACCTCGACCAGCAGACAAAATGGGTATCCAGAGACTGGCTAGGCGTCTCGAGCCCTACGCGACGCGTTATTCCTCCGAGCAGCTGGACGGCTACTCAGCCGTGGTAGACGGCCCTGCGCTCGCCTACTACGCTCACAAATTGGCTCTCGCTTCGGCCGCTAGCGCGTCCAGAATACCGTCTTATGCGGACATCGTTGCTGAAGCAATACACTGGCTGGCCTCGTTGGAGAAGAGCGACATCAAGGTGTGAGTAGACCACAGTTGCTTTTCGCACGGAACCACCACGGCAAGCCAATAAGGTGCGCACATATGTTCTTCACTTCACCGCCATTAGCGCAGGGGTCTCAAACTCTTCCATATCGCAAAGTCGTTATGTGAAGGCATTGCTTTGTGCTTGACCGTTGAATGCACCTTATGCAGGTGCCATGTGATGTTCCTGCCGTCCACTGCTGATCGCACCTTCTCAGGTCTGCCATCTACTTTGACGGAGCCCTCCCCATATCAAAGCGCACAGAGCGGTTGTCCAGGACGGAAGCGAACAACAGACGGGTGCAGCAATTTCGCAATAACTATGCTACTGTCTCATGTCCTATTCCGACATATTTAGGCTCGATATCGTACGCCTTTCTTGCACCTGCACTCCAAGAAGCGTTGCTGGATTCGCCGTTTTCTTCCAAGACGAAGACCGTACCTGGAGAAGCAGATGATTGGTGCGCATTGCATGCAAAGGAGAATGCAAAATCTATCATCTTTACGAGCGATACGGATCTTGTTTTGTACGACTACAGCTTCGACACACTGATTGTGTTCCTCCACGATGCTGATGTGACCACGGGCATTAAAGCATATTCACCCAACGAGATTAGCAAGCAACTACAACTCAAAAGCCTGGTGCCCTTTGCATATGCTCTCCTTGATGGCCCACAAGACAGCTCAAAGCTCCTAGCTCACACAGCCCAGGCAATAGATCAGAGCTCGACACCTTATGTCGATTTCGCCAGGCGCTACGTTGCAAAGGCTCCGAGTCCCAGCGCGACGTCTAATCTACCAATGTCAGATGTTCGGATATCAGAATACGTCCACCAAGCCCTCAATGGACTCGAATCTCCATTCGTATACATGCCTCTGCTGGTTGAAGACCCCAACCAAGCGTCCGCATGGAACGTGGGACAAGATATTCGTACAATAGCATACTCTCTCCTCGCTCGAAAGCCAAACATGATCGTACACGAGTATCGGCGAAAAGCCCAAGGTATTAGCGTTCAAGAAATCTCTACCTACTCTTCCACGGATCTTGCAACTTCCGCAGCAGATCTAGAGCGCCAGCTGCGCACCCTGAGAGAATGGGCAGCAGCGCAATCGGATTTTGTCAAACCAGCACTTCTATGGCCGTTATTCGGACTCAGCTTCGTCCTTGCAGAACTCAACACGCCGCCTGCGATCCTTCTCGTCCAGCGCGTACTCAACGGCGAGTTCGATAACAGCTGGGCGTTTGTCCATCTGACTGCCAGGATGCACGCAGCTATTTATTCATTGCGCGTGTTGACCCAGATTATAGGCGTGTGGCTGGTTCTCCACCCCACGATACCCACCTACTCGACTGAAAAGTCAAAATTACACACTACCCTATCCAGCCTGGCAACTCACATGGCCGACTTCCCTTGCATACCCGATGTACTTGGTGTGCCTGGGCAGGCGAAGAAGGTGGTGGCGCAGCATGATGTGTTGAAGGGGTTGGTCGAAGAGATTTATCGGTCGAACGGGGCGCAGGTGCTGAGCGGGGATGGAGTGAGTAATAAGAAGAAGAAGAAGATGGCGAGGGAACAGGAGAGGAAGAAGAAGAAGGCTGAGGTGAGGGCGCAGGGGAGGTTGGAGGGGAGTGGGTTTGCGTTGTTGGGGGACTGTTAGGTGGTGCTGTGTGGATGGTGGGAAGGCGTGATGGGCATCCTTGTTGAGTATGTTGAGCGTACGGGATGCAGTGGTACGTGTATGGGGTCTTGTTTGTTTCGCTAAAAGTTCGCGTCGACGTTATGTAACCACTTCCCAGCGGTGACTAAGCATACGCGAGCATATGGACAGGGCTTCTCGACAACTCACGAGAAAGTCACCAAGCTCTCAATTCAAAAAGCGAATCTTGAATACAGCGATCGGATGTGGCTTTGCGGGAAGTAAGTAGAGTGGAAAAGGAACCATTATTGCTATGAGGTGTTGCGCATGGCGCTAGCCTTGGAGGGCGAGCATCGATACATAACCCTGCATATGTATGTATTATGCCTCAGAATAAAGGACACCTGGAGCGACTCAGCGCTGATATCTTTGGTAGAACGTCGTTGATCTATCAACACCACTTCATGAACAGACCCACTGACTAAGCGGGTTCACATCGTCCTTGTCCCAAAGTGACAACGGCAAAGGGTAGAGAGCAAGCTTGATAACTCCAGGTGCCATCCTGCTGAGTCGCGCACAAAGCCGCTTAGTCTTGATGCAGCGATTGCATGCCGTCGCAAAACCCACACGCAAACTGTGATGCTTGGACCCGCCAATGACAGTATCACTTACACAGCACCTACTGGCAACTCCCTTCTCCAGCAGCCTGAGCAGTTTTCCCCACTCTTGAATGTGACATTCAGTGGATAGGTAGTCCCTATCAAATCTCTCTGCCAGAGACGTCTCCTCTGCAGTATTGTGGGAGCCAAAATAGAAGTCGATGTATTTGCCTGACACCTGGTCCCAGCGAACGTACTGGATAGGCGGAACGACCTTGTTAGCTATAACCTGCTCGGTCTGACATCGCAGCGAGACTGCTACAGTGTGGGAGGCGTGGCCAATTTGTGATTGCGCACCCGATGTAGACGCCTGGCTTGTCGAGCGAGGAGCTGGCGGTGTGAGAGATACTGCTCCTCTAGAACGAACTTTGGTACAATCAGTATACTATTGGAATGCGACATGGATCTAACTTACCTAACGCCGGAGTTGTTTCCCGAGAAAGATCTTTTTCGACCTTCACCTAAGTCGCTTAATCTTCGCCGGCATCATAACTGTAGACTAAAGCTGGGTCTTTGACGATGTCTTCTAGATCACCTCGTGCGAACTCGCGTCCTATAGCTTTCGTTACAATTCCTGCGAGGTCCTCATCGTTGAGGCTTTGTAGTAAAGCGCGGCGAGGGCTTACGAGCTGCTCGCCGCCCGATAGCGCAAGTAAGGCTTTGAGGTAGGAATCGATCGTCGACATGGCGGGCGTTGTAGATGCGACAGTGGATTGTTTATGAGAAGCGGAGCAAATGAAACAACTATCGGTGTCTGTTAGGCGCGGCGCCAGAGAATCGCCGTTGAAAGCACGTGCATGAGGGAAGAGCAAACGGAATGCGCGAAGTAGTGAAGAGAATTTCATTAAGTGTCAGTAGCCGTTCTTCTACCTGCCGATTCCGTAGCATCACGGACCCAGAACCCCATCTCTGTCCAGTGCCTGCCAACGCGCAATTGAGGTGGCAGAGGAAAGACGACCTTCTCTGTTTCTTGGTGGTTCACTTTGATCATCCTTAGACAAAGACGGCGAGTATCGATGCAGAAGTCGCAAGCGCTCCATACGTTTCCTTTAGACTGCACGCGTGTGCTCGGTCCACGTTTTCGTCTAATCGTGAAGTCGCTCAAACAATGACTGCTCGTCCCAAAATTCCGTGTTTGAAACAGTATCATGTCACCGTATCGCTCTATACTCTTCCATCCTTGTATGAAGTCTGCACCGATCTTACGGCGGATCTGGACGGAAAGCTCGAGTGGCATTTTTGGAAGCGGCTCCAGCCCGTCATTCGTTTCTTGTGTCGATAGCATCTCCTTAGGGATATAAAATCCTAACTCGTCCTTTGTAAAGAACGCAGGATGATCTGGGTCTTTACTCATGCCAGCCCAGCTTTCTCGGAATTCTGGGTGCCATGGGGTAGGATCGACGTAGAGCAGATGTTCTGGGACAGTAGGGCCGAAAAGGATATGTCCAGGTGCTGTCAGACTTACAGACCAAGCTGATTCAGCTTGTTGAAGTGTGTCAGAGTTGGCAGATACATCCTTGTTTTTCCTCGCGCGCTTGACCGTGGTATCGAAAGCCTCCCAAATACCCGGATCACGTTTGATACAGTGCTCGGATGCCGCTGATGCTGTTGGTGATGAACCCGCAGACGATGGCAGTTCTTCGACGCTCACTACACGATCAGATTAGTTTCCAGTAGTAGTAGCACGGGACGCGCATTTTCACACGCGATGGAGTCAAAATCATCCGTACATTCCTCAAGCTGTACTTTGACATCGCCTGCACGATCAATCGGTGTACCAGACGCGATATCCCCTTCTTGCGCAGCTGTATCGAGGACGACCAACAGTATCCTTTCTAATCCCTCTCTTGTAACCTCGCGCTTTGTACCAATACTGATGACTTGCGCTATATCCTCATCGGTTAAGCTCCGTATCTTGGTGCTGCGGGACTCGCGTTGCGCCCCATGTCTGGAGAGAGAAAGCAATTCTTCTAAATCGGCCTCAGTATTTGCGCTCGATGGCATCGTCAGTGGAAATGTTATAACCGTCCGGAATGTTGTGGTGACTGATGTTGGTTGCGTCGCGCGCTATGTTGTAGTACGGAGAGGGCGGAGCATGATTGGCTGTATGCCGAAGTTTCTGACCAAGTATGCCTACGTTTCCACTTTATCTTCCCTCCATCCTCTCACAAGGTCAATGTTTCCGGAGATAGAGATATGCCGAATGCGCAGAAGACATTGATACGGACGTTAGCTGGGCCTATGGCAGATAGTTCTCATTAGAGACCCACCTTTGCACATGCTGTGAGTGGCTTATCGATCGACGGAGATTTGCAACTGGGACTAACCGACAGTTCTAGACCATCTGCTATAGTCTGTGCACAGAGGCGCTCCATGCGAAACAACGTTTCACAAGTCCTGTTCCATCCTCGCCCATGTCATGTAGTCCTTTTTGCGTTGTCAGATGAAAACCTGTCATAAGTCTTGTGTAAGTAACGTGTCCAACCAACCAGCGAGGTAGCCGAACAATTGCTGATCGTTGTCTCCAGTCACCGTCGGAGTTCATGCGCCCATTCTTGAGATCTGTAGGTCAACGAATTAAAGAACTGGATTCCTCTTGACAAAAAACACCTTGTATGTCGAGCATTTACTGTAAGGTGAAAACGAGGCGCGGATGGCTGCCAAGGCCGATGGGCACGGGTGGGTCATCCCACCAACTCCCGCATCGGAAATGCGGCAGCTATGGCTTCCACCTAGTTCGTCCAAATTTGGGTGGAATGGAGGCCAAGAACTTGGTTGCTGACATCGCTTGAGCTCGACGTCAGTGCTTACATTGCAATCCAAGAACAATCGGGATGCGGGGAAACATGCATCGACCGTTCAGACCGGTGCCAGGTCACAATCGTGTCGTTCTGAGTCCAAATCGCGCAACATACGAAGCCTCTGTGCGTTAATCACATCATGCAGGAAGCTGGAAGTGGAGAAAGAATAGCAGACCGTCAATGTTGGGAATGTCTCAAACGACGCCTGGTGTGCGATCGTACCCTGCCGCTATGCAAGAAGTGTCCCAAGGCTGGCAAGGAGTGTCCCGGATATAACGAACAAAAGCCATTGCAGTGGTTAGAGCCGGGCAAAGTGTCTCTACGGCCGAGGAAGAGGAACAGTCCACCAAAGAAGTTCATCTTCCGACCAAGGACCTCCGGAACGAGCGCGGCAATCGTCGCGAGCGTGCCAGTCGCTGCTCCTTGTGAGCCTAGCGAGCCTGGTCTAGCGGAGTCAATCTCGCAAGAACCGTGCCTGACCCTCGCATACCCGCTTTTCGAAAGATCTTCGATCACTTCAGAGGCTATCGAAATATACGAGAGTCATCTCGCAAGCTTGTTGGTGCAAGAAGACAGAGCAGCATGGTGGCATGATCTTGATGTTGAGAAGCGGGTGAAGCACATCACACTGATGGCTACCGAGGCTGCAGCTGCGTCTGGAGTGGGCGAACGTATCATGCGGATCGGCAACCAAGATCAGATCAAGGAAGTTGTAGAAAGGGGCCAGTACTGGGAAGCTGCGGCATTGTTGCAGTCTAATCGGGATCCTCTCGCTAAGATACAACGACTGCTTCGAGTCATGCAGGCGAACAAACTACCTTCGTATGACTTCTTGTCGGATGAAACATGCGAGGTAGTGCATGCTGTCAACTACTGTACGTGTACCCACGCAGACAGTATGTTCATACTTAACTCGCTAGTTAACACCAGGATATACCCATATATCAAGGAAACTGACGCCTTGGCACCCAACCCAGCGATAATCCGCTTTCCCGTATGGGCATTGCACGTCTTGCCCCCTGCGGTGCACTATACCACTGTCTGCTTAAGTATAAATCATTATATGCACTCGTTACCCCCGGGATCGAGTGGTATGGTGATTGGAGAAAAGCGACTGAAGATTTACAACTACCGGGGCCTTGCCATCCGTGCCCTTAATGAGAGCATAGCGCGTAAGGAGACTCGCAGCAGCGATCTCACTATTACTAGCATACTCATGTTTATGGCTATGGAGGTAATGAGTAGACTCTGACGGTACGGAAGATATAAACGTGCTAACTGCCACACTCAGGTACACGACTCCAAAGATGGAGACTGGAGGTCTCATGCGGACGGTATGAAGCAATTGATAGATATACGTGGTGGTTTTCAATCTCTCCTACGAGCAGCACCTCATCTGACCTCAGCGCTAGTGGTATTTGTGATGTCAGCATGGCCCAGCCTTCGTGAGAGTTGTGGCTGATGGCCTGCAGCATTGTAACCTTTTCAAACACTCTTGGTCCGGTATCACGTCAACTCAATATCACGGAGCCGCTTGAGCAGCACATCAAGGAAGTGGAGAAGGTGTATAGCCTTGTCTTTCCTTACACATTGTGTCCGGTAACGCTGTTCATCGACATCATTCGCATTAATCGACTACGTCAGGAAGTCGCCCTCTCGTCCTTTGCAGACCAGTACCAGCATAGCTTGAATGCACAAAACATCCTCGCTCGTATCGAGGGTTTTATCCCCGGAGATTGGGCGCAAGCCGGTGAGAATCAAGATGACTGGCAGCTGATTGGTTCAATCTATCAATCTGCCACAGCACTTTACTGCATCATGTCACTGCAGGCTCTTGTGGCTCTTCCCGCTAGCACTGAAATGAACAGCACGCGAACTGACCACGCGAAGCATCTATTGGAAAATATGAAGGCTGCCCTACATCTGAAACAGCTGAAGAAAATTGCGATGTTTCCGTTATGTGTACTTGGAGTGGAAGCGGGGTATCACGACCAACAACGTACTCGACTGTGGATTGAACGACAACTAGAAGGACACGCTCGACTTCTTGGTACTAGCAGCCCTTTGAAAGCGCGGGCGGTACTCAGGCGGTACTGGCGGTGGAAGAGGCCTGGCTGGAATGAGTGTTTCGACGAACCGTATGTGCTCCTTATATCTTTTTCCAGATTGGAGAACTAATCATGTCTATAGATTTACGATCCTTGTGCCAGCAGGTGCTTGCTAGCTGTTTTGCCGATAGGATCCATATATGCAGACTTTTTCTAAGCAACAGCGAAGAGCCAGTTGACTATACTGTTTCTACCAGAAAAGCATCAGTATACATAACGCACGCTACTTTGAATCTCTCAACCTCATTATTTCCAACACCCTTGTCGGCAACAGACTTATGCATATTATTACGTTGATATGTAGATTCTGGCACTCATTGCGATTGTTCTGAATAGGCGGACATCATAGTAAGCTGGAGAATCTAAAGAATTCGTGTATGCACGCCTTGAGTGGTAGGTCCAACGATGAAAGAGCCTCACTGTTGTATGATCAGTTGTCCGTGATATTGGCACAGTGTGAGCCTTTCGATTTTCGTTTGCTTATGCAATGTTTCTCTGAGCAAGAAACCCGCAAGTGCTTTGCATCACCGAGAGGCCGAAGGAAAGGCACGCTTACTCGTTCTGGCAGCAAGCCCGTAAGGCAAACTGACCTGCACGACAAAAGCAATAATCACTTGTCGCATCTGATCATCCGACGCGATCTCTTCCGTGATTCGTGGTTGTGAGTCTTGGCCCTGTTGGTTTCCTAAAATGGTTAAAATTAATGACGGGCACTCTCAATAGATGCGCTATGTTATTCGAAGACGTTAGGGGCTCAGCTTGGCCATTTGACTGCCTGCTCCAGTGTAGCGTGATACAGTGGTACCCCAACCGCACACACCAATCACAACGGTCACATCTGCGATTCACTTTTGTTCATACTACATAACGCCGACTATGATCAGACGCTGACGTCAGATCTTGTGACGACAATCTTGTGGGTGTATGTTCCCTGTATCTTTGTAGAATATGTCTGGCGGTCGCGGAATCTTGGATTCGGCACGGACCGGTAGTGTGGAAACTTAAGGCCCTCTTTCCGTAATGCAGCTGCAAGGCTAAATACTCCTAGCAAGGATATTTTACTGGTAGTGACAAGTACCTCTCGGAGAGCTATATATATATGACAAGATGGAAACCCGATCTAAGAATCAACAATTCAGCAGCCAACACTTAAGACTATTGCAGAACAAGAGACAAGAACAATTTGAGAAAGCATGATGATTTTTCCACGAAGAATTATTGTCCTTACGTTTTACACGTCACTGACTATCGGAGCAACGGCACAGTACGCATCACCTCAACATATCAGGAGCTCTGGTGATCCTCAGACAGTCGCTATCAACTGGACAGATGCATCCAACGATTTGGGCAGACCTGGTTCTTACGGAACGCTGGCTGTTCCCCTCGACTACAATTCGCCACAATCGGAGAACAACACGCTCATTCTCGATATCTTGAAAGTTGATGCGACGAAAGAGCCTAGGTTAGGGAGCGTCTTGACGAACTGGGGAGGGCCCGGGTTGGATGCGATGTCTTGGCTGTCTTCCCAGGCTCGTTACGTCCTCGCGTAAGTCTTCCCTTACGGTGTATACATCCCAGAGTTATGCTAAAGAGGAATCTGCTAACGATATCATGTACGTAGTATGACGGGCGGACAGTATGACATCATTGGTCCTGACCCGCGAGGCACAGGAAAGACGTTGTCCGTCGACTGCTACAAAGATTCGGAGGAACGAACGCGTGCCTGGTTACTAACACCCGCGAGTACTAATTCATCTGACGCAGCATTGGGCGCTGCTTGGTCTTACAACGAACAGTTCGCACAACTTTGCTTCCAGAACGAAAGGGTGGCTGGATCTGTGATGAGCACAGCGTTCGTTGCCAGAGACTTTATGAAGATAGTCGATGCCCTTACTTTAGAAGGCGAAGTTGGGCTGCTGCGGTACTGGGGTAAGATGCAGGGATTTTCCAACTGTAGAGCTACCACGTACTGACTTTCCAATCTTAGGGATATCGTACGGCACATATCTCGGGCAGATTCTCGCTGCTATGTTCCCAGACAAGGTCGAAAGAATGATGCTTGACGGAGTTCTCAACCCGCTCGAATATCAGCAAGGATGGTTCGTGTATTCCTACCGATGAAAATGGCACAAACTGACCAGAGACTAGGGAGACGGGTCCATCTGTCTCAGCATCAGTAAGCTTAAAAGAATTCACAAAGCAGTGCATCGATGCTGGGCCCTTCTGTGCCCTATTCCGCCCCAATATCTCCGCGAATGCATTATACAAACGAATTCAGGATCTAAAAGAGAGTGCTAAACACGTCCCGATCGTCATGGGTCCTAACGTCACGACCGATATTGTCACCTACGACGAAATCGCAGAGGCCAGTGATACAGCGCTTCGTTCTGGTCTAGCTTTCGGGCCTTACTTGGCTGGCTATCTCAACCAGAGTTGCTAACAATCAATCCAAACTGATGAGACTGACTGACTGACTGATTGCTTGGCAGTCAGTTCAGTGTCAGTTTAGAGCTCTCGTCTTATCAGTCAGTTCAGTTTAGAGCTCTTAAAC